TCTTATGGCAATCCGACTGTGCTTTAAGAATGTGATGTTTTATGTTAAAACGTGGAATACTTTGTCCCTTGTAAATCGCAGAGTCAATAGGCTAAATTAAAGTATGCTTTTGCATTTTGCTCTATAGACAACGACCTGGTGCATCTGTTTGTGAATCTGCTTCTAAATGACGAGGCCAATAAAACATGCACGGGTCTGCGAATTATGTACTGCCAAATTGCCTGCCACTTTGTCTACTACGCTTCCGAATACGTTCAAGACATTTCAACCAAGTGAGCTCACATACTCTTTTGTCGTCCACCTTTTCTGCAATCGCCATTAGCAATTGTGTCAAGTTAGAGAGTCCTCTTGCAATTTAAATGGTAATGAGGATAGTGGCTGCATAAAGTGCAAATCACTGCGTCTCCATCGCAGAGTCCAGAGTTACCGTCTGCGTGCCATCGCAAGTTTCGTGTGGCCCTGTGTCACCAGCAACTTAAATGTGGTCGATTTGCAAGAGAAGTACACAGGTCTACAGGTCCTTGCCTACCTCATCGCTCGCTTCTATCCAATAATGGGCAAGGCGACTCCGCAAGTCTTCCTCTGCCTTGCTAAGGGTCCTCAAACTGAGGTGAAGAAGATGGTCAATCCCTCTCTCGACCTCCTTCTACCTGCCTGGGTTACAGGACTCGAAGAACAGGTAATTTTCCACGAAACAAATACGAGACGTCTAGTAGTGGCACTCAATCCAGCGTTGCAAGTTTTGATTGGGAAGAATTTGCCAGTGACACTATAATGCTTGATTGGTGCTCGCTTTACTTCAATTTCTTGTCGTCCTGGGCAATCTGCCTACTGAATTAGGCAGTGTGTTTGCCACCTGCAGTCGAAACGTTAGCACGTACGCATTGCTAGCTGTCAATTTTAGACAAGGAAGTCAGAAATGGCCCAAAGCGCCTTTCTTGGTTGTTATCGATGAGATATTTACCCTTTTCTGCTTAAGGTTTCACCAATGCGTTAGCCTTAGTTACCATATCGGTAATAATGCATTACATTAAAACTTGGAGATCATTTTTAAGTAGGTGCATAACTTTTGGAAGATCTCTGAATGAAATTGTCCTCTCCTTCTTTGTCCCCAATAGAAAGCACTTGCTGCAGCGCTGAAAAAAATCATGACAGAAGATCAAAGCACGCAAATGAGTATCCATTTATTGTGAGTTACTTTTGGCTTGGCTTTGTGTATATCAGTTGCGATTAGCTTACCCCTATGTTGTACTGCCCACAGGAGCTTGATAGTGAGACACGCTGATCTTTTCTACTCTGTTCGGCACGTTATAATTGGATCGGTTGTCATCGTTATTTCTCGCTTATCAGCACAGCAGGTGACACTTTTTGTATCCTACTTGACCTTCCGTTTATATCCACATGCTCATTTTCAAATGCTTGTACTTAGCATTACATCCACTTTTACAGATTCCGGTTGATCAACGCCGTATGATTTTGGATCTTATCGAGGTGACTGTACGATGGGACATGAAATGCAAATCGGAGCGTGCAGCTCTTGAGCAACAGCAGGAACAACAATCACCAAACCAAAATGCTTCCTCTTCTGCAGGTCCTTCGTCTATCGGTGGTCCTGTATCTCCATCTTTGGTGCATTTTAGTCTTTCAGCTTTGTGTTGTAGCTACCTCATCTCCAACCATACTAACCACTCTGTTGTTGGTTTTTTTGCTCTCCAGATGACTGACAGACCAGAGCTTATGCCCATGGAAAAGAGTCACCGTGACCAATTGGCTAATCTCATGATCCGTTTTGCGTG